CGGTGGTGGCGGCTGTGGCTATGGCTTGTGGGGAAGGGGGGGGGGGCGGCGGCTGTGGGTGGTGGTTGGGGGCTGCCACGTAACTCGCCATGCGATACCGAACGCAACAACAAAAAATTGAGGTGTCGTTCCGGGCGCGTCTATCAAATTGGAATTGGCAAAAAAAAAGCATTGCCCGGCGTAGCGCTGCCATTGTGCCGTTGTTGTTGCGCGGGGTGTGCCCAGGGAGAGCGGTGGTAGCGGTAGCGGTGGCAGCGGTGGTAGTGGTTAGCGGTGGCAGCGGTGGTAGCGGCGGTAGTGGTAGCGGTGGTAGCGGCGGTAGTGGTAGCGGTGGAAGCAGTGGTAGTGGCGGTAGTGGTTAGCGGTGGTAGCGGCGGTAGTGGTGGTAGTGGTTAGCGGTGGTAGCAGCGGTAGTGGTGGTAGTGGTTAGCGGTGGTAGTGGTATCGGTGGAAGCAGTGGTAGTGGCGGTAGTGCTTAGCGGTGGTAGCGGCGGTAGTGGTAGCGGTGGAAGCAGTGGTAGTGGCGGTAGTGGTTAGCGGTGGTAGCGGTGGTAGCGGCGGTAGTGGTTAGCGGTGGTAGCGGCGGTAGTGCTTAGCGGTGGTAGTGGCGGTAGTGGTTAGCGGTGGTAGCGGCGGTAGTGGTGGTATCGGCGGCGGTGGTCGTGGTGGTGGTGGTGGCGTTGGCGACGTTTGCGGTGTAGGGCGGCAGGGTGATGATGGGGGGGAATGTGTTCCGTCTCATCTCAAAGGATGTTTAAACTGCGCGCTGTGTTTGGGGAGGGGGTGCGTGGAAGCCGTGGGGGGCAGGGTGGGGTTGTGGCACCATTAGGAAGGGCACGGGGTGGGGGGGGGGGGGCGGCAAAAATCAAAATAACAATAAAAGCCGTTGTTTATTGGAATTCCGTAAAAAAAAAACCCAAAATATTCCAAGAGCCGCAATTGCAATGGCGTGAATCCGAGACGGCGGCCCTCGACGAATGGCGTCACGAAGCTGCGGTGGTGCTCAAAGGGAGCCGCCCGGCTGCCAACCTCGTGGGGTAGTTGAACGTGCCCGCACTGCGCTTGCCAGGCCGGGCGTTTGCTAAAAGATCGACGCCACTGCTGCCAGCACCGCCGCCACCGGAAACAAGGATCATCCCCCCGCCCCCCGCCCTCCACCGTATAGCCTGTAACAGACTGTTGGGGCCAGCGCTGTTAGCAGCGAGTACAAACCTACAAAGGCCGGCACGGCACACGAGGTGGTGGGGTTGGCCGGCACCACGCCCGGCCGCCTGCGTGGCGGTGTTTACGCGCCGCGCCAGGGGCACTCATTTGAGGCCGAGTCGACCTACCTAGGGGACGGGCCCAGGACCGGTTCAGATAATCGTCACCGGTGTTGGTGGCCGTGAGCGGGAATCGGAACGCGGGTTGAGCGGGTTCGCAGCGCAGTGGAGCGCTAACCGCTGCACCACCCCCCCCCCCCCCACCACCGCCACCATTGACCCCCGCGGACCCCTTTCACAGGCCACTAAATGTCTAGGTTTTCACCAAACAAACAAAAATAAAATCAACTTCGAGTCCAAGCTAGCAACAGCTGTTTCCAACATACACCCCCCCCCGTGCTCCTTCCTTCACACCCACCCCCCCTCCCAACAACCACCCCCCCATCTCTCTTTCGCTCACTCAAATCTCTCCAATTACACAGCTCTCTCCATCGCTCTCTCATCTTCTTCCCTCGTTGGCATTCGCTCTCGTACAGATGCTCCCTTCCTCTCTCCCCTTCAGCCTCTCCCGTCCTCCTCACTCATTCTTCACCTCCCCTGCAATGCAGATCTTATTTTTTTCCCCACTCCCCTACATCTCGTTCATTCTCTCAGCTCCATTCCTATCTCTCCCTCTCTTCCCTCCTTCCCTCTCGCTCTCTTTGGCGCTCTCCCCTCCCTCTCTCTCTCTCTCTCCCTCCCTCTCCCCATCTCGCTCTCTCCCTGCCACTCTCCCCGCTCGCTCCAAACCAAATACAACACCCGCATGTGACACTGGGTTGAAGGTCAGTGAATATGAATAAAAGGCCTCTATTGTACGCAGGGACGCTGCGCCAAAGTCAAGGAATCAAGGGCGCAAGTACAAAGGCAAAGATCCCCCGTGCCGCCTTGACAGACTGTCGGGGCAAGTGCTGTTAGCGGGCAGCGCCTACGAAGGCCGGCACGGCACACGAGGGGGTGGGTGGCCAGCACCACGCCCGCCCGCCTTTGTCTCCCCAGCGGCGATGTGTTTGCTGCACACCTGGCACCGGGTAACTCATGTCGTCGTACACGGTGGCCACGGGCGCACGCACAAAATGTGGCGCGCGCTCTCACACGTCCCATGTGTCGCCGCCGCTCAAGTTTCCCGCAGCCCCATTATTCAGTGCGAACACGAATGGGGTAATGGCTCCTAAGCTAATAAAGCGAGATTTGTGAGCAACGGCCGCTCGCTCGTGCCGCGGCGCTAGCCATCGCGAGCCCCCGAGATCATCCATCATCGCCCCCACCACCCCCCCCACCCCCGAAGTCCATCGCCATCATCGCCAGCGCCGCCCGCAGTCACCGCCACCGCCACACATCACACTCGCCACCGTCAGCGTCTTAGTTAAGCGCGCAGTGTGTCATCATCATCAGCCAATGGGCGAGTGACAGCACGACTGCTTTACAGGTTAACAGGTTAACGTTGATTCAGATGACTGCTCGCCATCGAACAAAGATGGACACCGCATCACGCGGCGCTTTCAGACTCGCTTCCGCCGGCCGTCTGAAACGCTCTTCCTTTCCGATATCAGGAAGCCACTCGAGCTTTGGACTTTTAAATCGTCTAGATTGAAAACTCATTTCTTGAGAACTGCTTTCATGTTTAGTTTGTCATCCTTCCCCCGCACCTCCGATTAGCGCTGTTGGCTACGGACGATGCAAAAGCAGTTCAACATACGTACATGCATTCCGGTGATGCAAGCGTCGAATTGCACGCGTGAAAATTCATCATTAGACAAAAAACAACAACAACAACAACGTTTGGTGACGTTACATTGGCGGTGGCTCGTCGGTTGGAACACCGAGCGCATTTCGTAAAAGTAAAAAAAAATTCTGCCGTTCTTTTTCTTCGTTTGAATTTCCAAATTTCCGTAAGCACATTCATTAAGTTATTTGTTTTCGCTAACGCACGCAGGCCGCGTGGAGAAACGTACGCGCACACAAGGACGGCTGGCGTCACCTTTGACATGCAAAGCATGCTGGGAACTTCTGTCGGTAATTAAAAAAAATGTACTTCATTCATCACGCGCGGGGAGAAATGTTCACTACATTTACGCGTGTAAAAATTAATTCGGGGTGGAGAGAAATTATAGCGTTTAAATGATATTAAGAGAGAGATTAAAAAAAAAACACGCAACACACCGGAGGGAAAATAAACTACACGTGACCAAATAACATGTGACAATCGTAATTACTTCAATGCCGCGTTTCAATTAACCGAAATGACCATTTAGAAGGCAAATTACAGGCAACTAAAATTACACGCAGATTGTTGGCGATGTTTGGCAAAAAAAAAATAATAATCAATCCCCGACAGTGGCGCGATGTCAGGACAAACCTTTTTCCCCACCGGCGCAGTCTTCCCTTTCTTGATGGACTTACCCGCGCGATCTTAAATGCCAACGCATGACGATGCGCGTTTGAACGCCCGCGGTTTTGTGCCTGGGTGTGCGCGTGTGTGTCAAAGTTGTTCGCTCACAGCATTTGCTCCGGCAGTCTGTTGAGGCTATACGGGGCACCTTTGTCTTTTTTCTTTGGTTCTCTCGGTAAAGTCACCACGTAGAATGAGAATAAAATAATAAATTTATAAAATAAAATGACACGATTAAATTCTCACGACGTTTCGGCCACAACACAAGCGGCCTTCATCAGACAGTCTCGTCCCTTCACCTGATGAAGGCCCACTTGTGTTGTGGCCGAAACGTCGTGGGAATTTTATTGTGTTATTTTATTAATTTATTATTTTATTCTCATTCTACGTGACTTTACCGAAAGAACCAAAGAAGATGAATCCTTGCAGTGACGAAAGCTTTAAATCGAAATCTTTGTCAGCGTGTAGTGTAGCGGTTAGCGCTACGCTGCGCTACGAACCCAGCGGCGACCCGGGTTCGATTCCCGCTTACGGCAAACACCAACGGCAAACACCGTTGACGATTATCTGAACCGGCCCTCCTCTAGGTCGACTCGGTCTCTAAATTCATCACCGGTGCGGTGTGTGGTTAAACATCGCCAATGGGGGTGGGTGCTGGCCACCCAACCCTCGTATGCCGTGCCGGCCTTCATAGGTGTCCGCTAACAGCGCTTGCCAAAACAGTTAAGCCATGCGTAAAATATTTGTCTTTGTGCGTGCGCGCACCTAGCCTGGCACGAGCGCCGTAGTGACGTCACCGCCACGTCGCGGCGAACGGCGGCCGATGTTGTTGTGTGCATGCGTGTGTGTGCGCGTGCGCACATGTAACCAATTGTAACAATGTAGCGCACACGGAGATACTGCAATATTTTAATTCAGAACCCTTTAGGAGCTAGCAAGCAGAAGCAGCAATGTTGCGATGCAAGAGAGGTAGCATATTTTGCCGGTTTGGTAAAAGTAGGTGGTTGTGCGATAAGACGCGACTGCCTGGGTACGGGAAGCTCGAAACGGTCTCCCGGTTCGAATGAACAAACAAAAACAAAATCGGAGTGGGATTCCCATCGCCTCGAAGCTCTCCGACCGCGGTCGGAGAGCTCCGCGTGGCCGGGGACGCGGGGCCGAAGACGTCGGTACGTCTCGGAGAGCCGCGCCATCGAACGCCCCCGTGGCGGCGGCGGCGGCGGCGGCGGCATCGGGTTCACTTTTCGTGCCGACGCTCTTGGCACGATTATTTTTTTTCCACTGTTCACGACGAGCGCAGGTACTCGCTTAAGTGGGGGGGGGGGGGGGGGGGGGGGGAACACTGGCGGACGGCCCGGTTCGCTCACCTCGTTTCTGCATGAAGCTGAAGAGGTCGTCCAGGAACTCCTTCCTCTTGGGGTCATCGTCCAGCTCGTACAGCTGATGAGGACGGAGAGAGAAGAGGCGAGGTGGTCAATTCACGACCGAGCACTTTCGCAAACCGCGACCCTCCCCCCCCCCCCCCCCGGCCCCCCACGGCCGGCTTCCAGAAGCAGAAATCGCTTCTCGATTACAGTCGACGTTCCGTATTTTTAGTGTGGCTGAAGCCATCGGACAAAGGGGGGCGGCGGTAACACCGCGTAGAGTGGCGCTTTCACCTGCGCTTCCGTGGCCGTCTGGAACGCCGCTCTTCCTTCCGACATTAGGAAGGCACTTTTAAATCGTCTGGATTGACAAAAGTCACTTCTTTAGAACTGCTTTTTGTGTTTAATTTGTTGTCCTTCCACACGCACCTCCGATCAGCGCGTGGTTGGCCACGTGCGGTGCAAAACAAGTTCAACATTCGTGCGTACGTACGTATAGGTAAGGGCACGGTACACGGCAATTGATATATTGTAACTAGGAACGCCACATCGTGAACAGAGATGGTCTGTGCCTGTAAGATCGGCAAGTTCGCCAGCATTGATTCAGGCAAGCCTGCCTGCTGATGAGACGCTGTGTGTCGAAACCTCGTACTGAATTAGCGGCGATGAAATGACGCACACCCCAGAAGGCCGTATGGCCGATGGGTTGCGGTAGAAATACTTAATCTTTGGAGAGACGGACTGTACGCGAAGGAGACATATCGTCTGCTTGTTTTGCTATTTATATACTTTCCCACAAAGACGCGAATAATTATTTGCCTTCATCCAGCAGTGGATTGATCATGACTGATGGATGATGATGATGAACTCTGTGGGTGCTGTGTACGAGCAGTCCACATTTATCTCATTGGCCTCTAGCGTGGTTAAATAAAGGGTAATGCGCTGACCTGGAATTACCCCAAATAAAGAAAATGTCATTAAGATTCCTGTGGCTCGCATTGCATTTTTTACGTCGCCAAACAGCTAGAAAGTCCAGGCATTCGCGAGGTTCTCATTAACGTCGCTCATAAAAATGTAACAAACAAAAGACAAAGATTCCCCCCCCCCATATAGCCTCAACAGACTTTTCTGGCAAGTGCTGTTAGCGGGTAGCACCTATGAAGGCCGGCACGGCACACGATGGGGTGGCGCTATTTTACACACCGCACAAACGTGCTCATCCGAGGCCGAATCGACGTTTTCGGGAAGGCCCAGGATAAGGTTCAGACAACCGTCACTGGCGACGGCCGTGAGCGGGAATCGAACCCGGGTCGCCGGCTTCGGAGCGCGGCGCACTAACCGCTGCGCTGCCGCTCCCCACACAAACACGCGCGCGCGTGCACACGCATCCGTACGCAAATGAAAAACTCAAAACTCGCGTCAAGTGAAGATGCGTATTTTCACAGCGTTCAAACGAATCGCCACGTGGCGTCTGCGTTTTCGTAACTTGTCACAAAGCGATGGACATTCACTCGAGGCCCGCTCGTTTTGCACAACTGCCGATGGAACGCGGCGGGTTATAATTGCAAATTCAAGTTAAGGCGTCGTTGGCTGCGAATTTCAGTTGTCATTTTTTTATTTAATTTTCGCAACAACAAAAAAATGCAATAGCTCGTTTTTTTTTACTTTTCCGTAGCCGCGCAGCTAGCCGTATCGCTGAATATGGATAAAATGCCTCGGAACATTCACATTTTACCCCCCCACCCAACCCAAATACTACAGAGTAAGAAGTAATTGCAATAACCCCCCCCCCCCAAAAAAAAAGTGTGTTTTCTTTCTCCAGAATTGAAACTGAAGTTGCAAAATGTTGGAATTTCCCCTCTCGTGTTAATGACCCACTCCTGTTACTGACTGGACCCAACCTCCCACTCTCTCACTTTCCCCAAACTGCCTCCCCTCCTTAATCTCTCGATCCAAATTAAGGCTCGTCAGTTGGAAACACTGAGCGCATTTTGTAAAAATGTTATTTTTTTTTCGTTTTAATTTCCAAAAATTTCCATTAGCGCATGAACTCGCCGTTTGTTTCTGCTAACCCATGCAGGCTTCGCGGAGAGCGTAACGCACACAAGGACGGCTGCCGTCACCCGGACATGCAAAGCACGCTGGGAATATCTGTCGCGCTTTTGCCGCATACGACGCTATTATATATTTTTGCTTTCCACCCTGCATGCATCTTACGGGATGATGGGTGTCCTTAAAATGTCTGATCGGCGAAAGTGCCCCCATCCCCCCCCCCCCCACTCCTCCCCTCTGCTCTACAGGCTGTCTCACAGTTAAATTAAGAACACGTGTCCTCCACGCGGCCATGGCCGGGAATCGAACTCGGGCCATCGGGTCTTGAGTCTAGTGCAGCACGCAAAACCGCTGGGATCAGAAAACCGCTGGAGCGAGCCGCACGCCGCACAACGTGGCCGACGACGCAGAGATTCGCGGGGTGGGCATGAACGAGTAGAAAAATAAATATACAAAAACACAATTGCCGCTGCCCTTGTTAATAAAAGTCCAAATCGCACGCGCAATTTTATAATGGCCCGTCGCCATTAAACGTACACATTCCTACACCTCGAATAACCTTCAAGTGCCCGCGGGTGCGAGGCTGCCCCCCAAACCCCCCTCCGGCGACTCCGGCCGTGGTGCTTCCGTAACAGGGCCAACGCTGTGTCGCCTTACAAGCACGCGAGATGCATTGGTGAACTAAATAGCGCTCCGAAGAAAATCATATGTAATAAAAATGAGAATTACTTAAACTAAACTATTTTTTTTTTTTACACCAGGTAAGGGCCCACCGGGTAAGGGCCCACTGAGCTACACAGCGCACAATTTTTTAAGAGGCGACCTGGCCACAAATGATAGCTCAACGGGAAGGTGGCTTATCATCATGTGGACATTTACAGGAGCAGCCAAATGTTCTGAACGAGCGACGATCATTTCTAAATGTGGGGGAGAAAAACCGGAGAAAAATCCACGCGATCACGGGGAGAGAGAGAGAGAGAGACACGCAAACTCCAAATATACAACAGGCATCATCAAGGCCGGGATCGAACCCACGACCTCCTGTATACCAGGCGAGGTAGTTAACATCTCGCCACCATGGCACCCGATTATTTATTTATCCAGGAAAGGCACACTGGGTCCAAGGACTCAGGAGGGCCCAATATTGGCTTAATTCATTTTAATTTAAGACGCATTCAGCCAATTTATACAAACCTCAACCGGATTCTGGACCTCGTCTGTCCGCTCACCCTTGAACGAGTTCCCGTTGCGGTGTGTGAATAATCAGCACTGGGGAAACAAAGGCGGCTGCCGTGCCGACGCACCGTCCCCCTTTGGTTGCTCGCAGACCATTACACAAGGTGAAGATTCACTCAGCTGCTTCAAACGATGAATGCAGGCCAAATAGGGTATTTGTTTTGTTCATGCACGTACGTTGCGTGCACGCGCAAGCGAGCGTGCATCCACTGCCGTGAGACCGAGCCACCCATCCGTCTACCCCAACGCCGGTTTATTGAAATGTCAAATTATTGTTATTTTCTTTCTTTCGCTCAACGGGAATTTACTTCCCCCGCGAGCGGCGAGCGGGCCCAAGCTTACGCGCGCTCGCAGGGACAACGGCAAAGCGGCGTCGCACGGCGGCGTGGTGTTTACCGAATCGCCCCCGCGACCTGGCACGCCGTTTGCCCAACTTTGGCCAAAGGTGTCAAGGCGGGGGGGGGGGGGGGAAGACGGGATTTATGAGTGTAAAGCTGTACGAACAAAAAACACAATTCACAGGGTCCATTAAACAACCACAACGGTACACAGGAACCTCTGCGGCAGCAAACCACATACTCAAGATGACCAAGCAGACTCTCACTCGTCTTTACCCGACAGATTTTCTCCGCATTCGGCGAAGGGGAACGCGGAACAAGAGCCGCCCCCTCCTCCCCCGCGTGCCCCCCCCCCCGCCCCAGCCTCCCTCCCCCCGACAACCAAACCAGCAGTGCGGCGACTCTGCTGTGTACCTTAGGCCCGAAAAAAGTGAGCCAGTCACGGCCTAACAACAAAAACCTCGGCAACAAACGGCGAAGGCGCCGCTTGTCCGTCGGGCCGCGTCGCCGAATACGATGATGATGACGACGACGACGACAATGACGACGACGATGAGGAAGACAACCACGATGGTGGCGACGTCGACGCAGCATTACAACCGGTGGGGGGGGGGGGGGAGGGGGGCGGAACGCGCGTGCCTGTGGCTGCCACCGCTCGTTCCACGTGCCCCCCCCGTCTCCAAGGGCAGTTTTTTTCTTCTTCAAAATGCAGGGCAATTAACGGGTTCGGTCACGGCAGCTACGTGCGCGCGGCGCTGGTGGTGGCGGTGGTGTCGGCGGTGGTGTCGGCGCCGCCGGTGGCGCTGGTGGTGCGCCGCTTGCGCTCGCTTTGCCGAGATTACTCCAGGGAGGGGGAGCAAAATTGCTCGCAGGACCGGGCTTTCGGATACAAGTCCTTGTTCACGGTGATTTTACTCCCGGATTGGTTAATTCATTTGCGGGGGGGGGGGGGCGGGGGGGGGGGTGGGCAGGGGGAAGGTGAAACTAATTTAGTCGAGGGTCATTTTGGTTTACAGCACGTTCCGTGCAAACGAGAGTGAGACGTAAAGAAAAAAGCGCTCAAGAGGGACGGTCGACTCGCCAACCACACCCAAACCCATCAAGGGGATTGCCTCCCACTACAATAAAACTCGGAACCTATTATCCACCTAATCCTATTATCCGCGCAAGCTACGCAATGCATTGCGCGCACCTTCCCGATTGCACGCCGCCCACGCGCACTGAGCTATGATCGCTCAACGAAGTGGCTTATCACGTGCAAATTGATCGCAGCCAAATATTCGAAATGCATGATTATAAATGCGGTGGGAAAAACCGGAGGACCCAGATAAAAAATCCACGCGACCACGGGTAGAGAGAGACGCGCAAACTCCAAATATACAGCAGGTGTCATGGTGGGGATCGAACCCACGACCTCCTGCGTACCAGGCGAGGTAGTTAACATCTCCTA